CAGACGAAACTGGTCTTTATTGGAAATTAGAACCCCATAAATCTCTTGCTAGTGGACCTCTCACTGGATTAAAGAAATCAAAGGATAGGATTACTGTGATGCTTGCATGTAATATAATCAGAACTCATAAATTACCTCCAGTATTTATCTATAAATTTAAAAATCCACACTGTATTCATAATATTGATAAAAAATCACTTCCTGTATGGTACTATTGGAATAATTCATCATGGATGCAACATTCTATTTTCCAAATGTGGATTAGACAATTTAATCAAGGAATGAAAAAAAGGAGAAGAAATGTTTTATTATTAGTAGATAATGTTTCATCACATCAATTGGAAGAAGGTGAAGAGTTGAGCAATACTAAATTACATTTTCTTCCACCAAACACAACTTCTCATCTTCAGCCAATTGATCAGGGCATAATACGATCATTTAAAGTAATTATAATATTCATCTTTTTTTTTATAAATTTTATTTTTAATATTAATAAAATTTGCCTTATCTTTGTATTAGGCTCATTATAGAAAATTACTATGCCAAGATAGGATTCAAGCATTTGATGAGCACCAAGAATTTGGTGTTGAGATTCCAAAATTAAATATTTTGAATGCAATTAATTGGACTGCACAATCTTGGGATAATGTAACTGATGATACAATCTACTGTTGTTGGCAAAGAACAGGTATTCTACCTAATGAGGAAATGGAAATATTTGAAGAACCAGATGAATTAGAATATGAAGAAAATGATGTTCAAACACTTATTAATCAAATGAATGTTGAGGATATCACAGCAAGCAACTATATTAATATCGACTCTAGAATAGAAATTGCCGAAATGATTGATGATGATGAGATAATTTCTGCAGTACAAGAAACACCAGAAGAAGAAGAAGAAACCATGAATACACCAATATCATATCCAATTGCTTTAGATAGCATTCAAAATCTATTTGACTATTTGCAACAAAATTCTGATATAAAAGTAAATAATTCAGTAATATTGGGATTGAAAGACCTACAACATCAAATTAGAAGAAAACAAAATGCATCTCTAAAACAACCTACCTTAGAAAGTTTTTTTATAATAAATAATTTTATACATTATTTTAATTTATTTGTTTTAAATATTTTAATTATTAAATAAAAAATCTGATTGGATATTTTATGTAGATCAGTTTTGGTATAAAATTCAATAAGTCAGTTCTCTCCAGTGTTGGCAAATGACTGGTCATATGACATATGACTTACATGACTTGTCATAAGTCATTTGGTCATTCATAAAGGGTATATGACTTATGACATTGCATATTTTTTGGCCTATAAAAAAAAGAATTAAAATCAAAATCATTTTTTATTTTATCATTTCAAAATTCAATAATTATGATTGATTATCACTTGTAAAAATATATGGTAATGGTTCTAAATCATCAGCAAAAATACATGACAATTCCCATTTTAAGTTGACATTATCTGCTGGATGAATATTATTTACTCCCACCAAAAAATCATTATCCAAATCTTCTTCAAGTAAACTTTCATCACTATGATTTTCTAATTGGTTTTCTTGACTTGCTTCATCTCTCCAATGAGCAACAATTATATTCCATTGATTCACATTTTCATCAGAATTAGAATTCACTGATTCATTGTTATTCTCCAAAAAATCATCATCATTTGTTTCATGGTTTTCATTTACAAATAAATCCTCTCCATCAATAGTTTGTACATCATCATTATCATTTTCATCAAAATGATCAAGGATAGTTGGTTTTGGAATATGAAATTGCTTTATTATATCAGTTTGATCATCTTTCTTAATTTGACGTTGGTACAAAATGTCACTACGAATCTGACTCATTGCCAGGACTTTATTATGCTATAAAATAAAATTTAATTAAAACAACTTTTTTATATACTAAATTCATTAAATAAAATACATACTGATAATTGGTTTCTCCTATTAGTATGAAAATATCCCATTGAGGACCATAATCGTTCTACTGAGGCTGAATTTACACAAACAGCGTGAATACGAATAGCCACTTTTGCTAATTCAGGCCCAACTCCAATTGTTGACTCCCAAAAATTCAAAACATTTCCTTTAAATTGCAAAAAAGAATCATAATCATATGGATCATTCCCTCTTCTATAATCAATCAATTCTGCTAAAATACTAGTTGCTGGTTTTCCACAAAAGGCATGATAATAATACTTCAACCACTGACCAACATGTGTCCATGATAAATTGTTTATAGTTGGTCTAAATTTTGATAATTTATAAGAAGGATGAAGAATAATGGAAAGCAACAAAATTGGTTGCTCCCAACCCTTCCACCTCTTTTCAATTCTAGAAACCATTTTTTCAGAAAAGTCCAAATCATGATGCATAGAAAAAATGTGTAATGTATATGCAAAGCAATGGACCACTTCATAAAGTCTTGCAGCATCCTTTTGTAATTGATTGAGAAAACAACACAAAGGATATAATAGATTTTGTAATGAAAATAGCTTTGTTCACAGAGTATGTAAACAGATTCGAGGCAGAGTACATCCTAAAACCAAGGCAATAACTTTAATCAAAGGATTTGATGTATCAGAAACTGGTATTCTGTCAGTATCAGAGACAATTAAAGACAAACTTTGTATACCAGTTTGTACATTGAGTGGAGCTAATATTGCTAATAAAATAGCTGCACAGAATTTTTCAGATATATACAACAATTTGGGTATTCCATTCTTGAGGAAGGGCAAATATTTCAAAAAATATTTGAAGCAGTTTATTTTTGAGTTGGTATAATTAAGGACGTTACTGGAGTGGAATTGTATGGAGCATTGAAAATGTTATTGTGATAGGAGCAGGAATAGTTGATGGATTGAAAAGGGGTGAGAATACAAAGATGACAATAATTAGAGTGGAATTTTTGGAGATGAAGAAGTTTATTCAAATGTTTTATCATGGTGTTAAAGAAGAAACATTTTCTGAGTTGTGGAATTGCCAATGTGATTGCTACTTGTTATGGAGACAGATTTGCTGAGGCTTATGTTTTTAACCAGGAAGGTGAGATTTTTTTTTCTTGAGTGATGATTGATTAATTATTGCATGACTAAATAAACAAATGAAAGATTTTGTAAACGTTCAAATAATTATCATAGTTATTTAAAAATGTATTTAACAATGTTAATGAACTGATAATTTTATTGTTGTAAAATTATATAAAAGTTATCTTTGTTTGAATTTTACTTTAAATAATAAAAATAAAAATACAATTCTTAAAATATAAATATAAATCATAAGAAAATAAATACATAGGTAAACTCGATAAGTCGGATTTGGCTTAACTCGGACAAAATTTTTCAGCCCTTTTTTTCAATAATTAAAATCTCTTGATAAGTCGGACAACATATATAAACCTTGTTAAGCTGTAAGTCGGACGACTTCACCAGCCAGGTATAATAAATTACTCTCGATAAGTCGAAACACGTGATTTTTTGATAGACAATCTTTACTATTTTTAGTAGCATATACAAATTATTCATCATTTTCGTCATTTTCGTCATTATTTATTTTTGATGATTTAGAAATAACATTCTTGTTTGTATCGCAAACAATATATTCATAACTTATATCCATCGATTGTATCATTTATTATCTCACTGATGATTTAGAAAGAATATTCTTATTTGTATCATATGCAATATGTTTATATTTATCATTTAGAAAGAACCTTCTTGTCTGTATCGTGAACTATATTTGTATTATATATATCATTAGTTATATCATTAGTTATATCATTAGTTATATCATTTAGCAATTTGTAAAGAATATCCATTGTTATATTGCAAAACAATACATTTATGTATGTTTTAAAACAAACTAGTGTATATTCTTATTTAAATAAAGAATAGTAATTTTTTGTTTATATTCTATTTGTTTTACTAAACGTTATTCATCTTCTGTTGGTTTTATTAAATGATTATTCATCTTCTATTTATTTTATTAAACGGTTATTCATCTTCTATTTGTTTTATTAAATGGTTATTCTTTTTATTATTTTATAAATAAATTTTTTTTTCAAAGTTGGATATTTAAAGTTAAAATGTAAAAACCTATTTTGCAAGTACATCAAACTCTTGCTACTTGGTGGTATATAGAACACAAACAGTTGTGTTGTAAATTTAATAATTAAGTTTAGTACAAAATAATAATTTGTGTTACAACTCGATAAGTCGGACCATCATGTTCAGCCATCCGTGTCCGACCTATCGAGTTCACCTATGTAAATATATAATATATATATATTGTATGGAAGCTTATAGACTTCCTGGAAAGTGTGATCATAATTTAGATAACTTCTTTGATTATAAATAATATAAATGGGGGGTTTTCTAGCAAAAACCGGGTATAAGTATAATAAATTTTTTAGAGTGATGATCTTTGCAAAATATGTTACACATATGTTTTTAATATATAAAGTGAATATTTCAAGCCTTATATCTTGTTATTGTACCAAGTAAATAATGTCTAAAAATTTTTACCAGTTATAATCCTTGTGGTATAGACATATATGCAAAAAACTCAATTTTGGTCTGGAGGCCTTATACACGGTTTTTGCTAGAAAACCCCCCAAATATAATAATAATATGATTATATTCCCCACAATATAACATAACAATATAATATCCACGTTCCTTAATAAAAATAATAATTATAACAATAATAATATAAATATAATAATAATATGATTATTGCCAAGTAACTTTAATTAAACGATAAAAAAAATGAATCCCTCTGATTACCAAATATGGTAATAAAATTATTTGCCATTTGTGTGACATATTATTTCGAGGATTGTTACAGATTTATTGATTAATTTGAAGAATTAGAAAATGAATTGTTGAATGGACAAAAATTACAGGAAATTTGACTGCAAAAGAGTTATACATAGTATTAGCCATAAAAATTGGGAAGCAAGTAAGTTATGATTATGAATAATTTTACTTGTTGAAATCATTTAAAACAATTCTACTTTCAATTGTTTTTTATCATCTTTTAGATTTAAATTATTTACCACGATTTATCAAATTGCCTATGAAAATTTACCATTTGAAAAATTGTTCAGAATATTTAATACTATTTAAATAAAAAAAGCAATATTCTTAGGATGGAAATTCGCAATTAGAATTTTGTATCCAAACCAAAATTTTTTTAGTGGTTATATCCTTTGATTGTCTGGTGTTTAGCTTAACACCTGAATAATCGATGAATATCATTCGGGCGGATACAACCACTGTTACTACAGTGCAAGACACCCAGTCCCGCAACTTACTGCGCCCGGCGACAGTTGAGAAAAAATTTCCAATCTTAAAATGCGATATTTCCTAGTAATTCAATAAATAGTAAAATCGCAATATTGTGTTACCTAATATGGATGTGATCATCAACTAAAAAATAAAACTTTATATATAGTAAATAGTAAACTTGTGCTTGATACCTTAGTTCAAAGTTACGGTTTGTTTTTTTTGGTGTTATATTTCCATTTTTTCAATAAAAAGGTTACGGGAATAGATGTGATACACTATATATACCAATTATATATATATAATGATGTTCAATTCACGCGCGCGTGAATTTCAAATTAGAATTTGTATCCCATCCCAAAATTTAATTAATAATGTTGTGCCAAATTTGTGTCAATAATAATAAACGATCCTTCCGCCACCATTTAATACTATGTGACTTATTATACTATTTTGGAAAATAAAGATTTAGTTAGTTGATTAATCTATTAGAAGCTTACATGTACCAAAATCCATGAAAACCTATAACTATATATTAAATATTTTTATTATGTATACATATATGGGATAGCTCACTATTTTTCCCGTTTCTGGAGAATTTTGCAAATTATTCTTGGCATTGACCAAAAATGGATTATATGTGTGATACATCAAAATAAGATATATTACAAAGTTTTTTTAAAAAAAAAAAAACTGAAATAAAACAATTAACAAAACTTGGAATTAACACGTTTAGAATATCATAAAAGAAGATATGGGTGAAACACAAGAGACAATAATCTGGGAAGGAACTACTTGGCCACTCTTCATATGTTCACCAATATGTTGTTCAAGCAGTAAGTGAAATAACAATTAAAAATGGTTTAAAAGAGTCATTCTTTTAACAAATGTTTATAAACAAATATAGAAAAGTGGAAGATAACCAACAGAAGAGTAGATTGTATAAGTGGATGTTGTGGTTCGAGTGAAGATACCTTGGTAATACTATAAAAATTATTGAATTTTGAAATAATTTTATTTATTAATTTTTAATATTCTTAATAATAATTGCGCAGGACATCCGCAGAATAACCGACATTCAATTTAAAAGAAACTGTGGACAAATGATATTTAATCGAGGAACTCTGATAATATTTTCCGCGTATGTGTTGTTGTTATAATAAATCAAATCATGATCAAATCAGAATCAGAATCAATTTTAATTATATTTATAATTAAATGTAAGTAAATCCATTAATTATTTATAAATTGTCTGTTTATTTTAGAGATACCACTACTCCAGTAATAAAAATTGAAAGTTGGGGAATGAGAAAAGTGTATAGAAGCTTGAAGGAACATTGGAGTCAATCAAAGACTGGTATAATGTCAGCTGTTTAATAGCTATTTAGGCTTGTATATGAATGATATATATCATTGTTTCATAAATAACTACTCTTTTTCTATTCATCAACAATAATTTGTGTGGTACAAATGTTATCACTTTGCTTTTGTTATACCCAATTTAACTGACAAGTTTTTGGCAAAAATCAATTTCAGCATGTTATATATATATTATCGAAATTTTACAATATTTGACTAACACTTTAATTTATATTACATAAAATTCTTTGAAAATAATTCAATTTTTTTTTATTTGTTTATATAACTTGATTACATATGCTTTGGACAATAATTACAAGTTGTATCACGATATCCATGTAACTCCAAATTTGTTCTCTACAGTTTGTCTCTTACGCTTTCCATTTTGATACTGCTGATTTGTACTAGATGACATACACCCCTCAGAAATAAATTTGAAGAGGATGTTGGACTTTCGGTCATTTTAATAATAAAAATCATGAAACAAAGGTCTACCATATATAATGAAAATAAATCTATTTTATATAAATATAAATATCACAAGACTACAATTTTTACTTTAGACACAGGTCTTGGCAAACTATTGGTTAAAACCTCATTATAACATTCATACAATTTTGATTTTAGGTTTTAGCAAACTATTGATTAAACTTTATAACTACAACAACTAACTAAAACTAAAATGCTAAATTCTCAAATCTATCATTTAAATGGTTCATTTTCAAAGTTACCAAATGTCATTGGTTATTTTTTTTTGATCGAAAACTGATCGACAAAAAAATTCATTCATTCATTCATAATTTAGATTAATTTCTCTTCGCACATGGTGAAATGAAAACTAAATCATCATATAAAAATTTTTAAGTTTTATTTTTAAGTTTTCTCTTTTATATCAATAAAGCTAGAGTTATAATGATTAAAGTAATATTAATCATATCAATGATTTTAATAAAATTAACTTTACACACATCATCCAAAAATAAATATACACTTTATTTTGTAATTAAAGATATTCAATATAAATATAACTTGTATGAATTTTTTATCTAAAGAATCCTTTATTTTTTATAATTTAATAAATGGAAATTAATAATAATACTAATAATAGTAGTTATATTACTAGTTCATCAAATTCCATCGCCGATGGTAATACCGTCAATAATAATAATGCCCAAGAAGATAAATCACAGTATAATGTTGTGCTGGTGATATCGTTAGATCCAACTGAAATAACTCTTCCACCTTCAAATATTCAAACTGGCATCTCTTCCAATCGAACTTCCATCTTCCTTGCTTCTAATGATGAAAAAGTTTTCATTAAGGAAGATTTTCCTCAAATCAGTGAAAATAAAAGTGACGATAATGATGACCCAAAAAATTGGTCAAGAAAGCGTAAAAGCTTTATTATATTTATTATTTCGTCTGCAGGTCTAATTGCTCCATTTTCAAGCACGTAAGCTCTGTGTGTGTGTGTGTGTGCGAGGTGAAATTAATAATGATGATGATAAAAATATTATGATTTGCTAATATTATTAATTTCGATTTCGATTTCGATTTCGGGTTTTGATAGAATAATTTTTCCAGCATTGGTAAGTATACAAAAAGATTTAAATACTTCGGAAATACTTGGAAATTCACTAGGTATTATTTTCACTATTAATATTACTGCAGCTTTTTTTTTTTCGAGTACGTAAATAAAATTTAATTCGTGAATTCACTATTGTTAATTAGTATCCTCATTCGTTTTATTTATGGGAATTGCCGTAAGTTTCCAAGATCGAAGGTTTCATCATTAATCTTTGTAATATTTATCAAAATCCCCTTACAATTTAAATATCGTACATATTTATAGCCATTGGCATGGGCATCATATTCCGACACTTATGCAACGAGACGTAAAGTTTACCTGGCTTCAATCTTATTATACATAATAGCAAGTATATTATGTGGTATTTCACGTAATATTTGGTTGTTACTTGTGATGCGTGCTTTACAAGCATGTGGTGGCTCTTCAGTTCAAAGTCTCGGTGTTGCAACAATAAGTGACACATTTCATTCATTCGGTAAATAAATAAATATGTTTGTGTATTTACATGTGCGATTTTTTTATTGAATATATATTTATTTATTTCTTTTTTTTTTTGCATCTTAATTTAGAACGTGGGACAGCGTACGGACTTTTTTATGTTGGTCCATTAGTTGGTCCCATAATGGGGCCGATTTTTGGAGGATATTTGACAGATTATCTTGGTTGGAGGTGGATATTTTGGTTTTTGTCAATAATTGGTGGCATAATTTTTATTTTTATTTTTTTCGCGTTACCAGAAACTTTCCGACATCAAAAATCACCACCACCGTCAACACCGTGTATTATTAAAGAAATTATCGAAGAAAAAGAAAATATTGGTAATGGAAATGGAAATGGAAATGATGAGAAATTAAAAGAATCATTGAATATCAGTTCACCAACATCACAAAGATTTAATCCAATTGCTCCGTTAAAGTTATTACGATATCCAAATGTAGCATTGACAGTAATTTTCGTTAGTGTAGCATTCTCACTTATTTATGTGGTAGGTACACTGTTGCCAAATATTTTTCAACAACGTTACAACCTTTCCACGTCACAAGTTGGTCTAGTGTTTTTGCCACCTGGTATTGGATATATGCTCGGTAGCATTTTTGGTGGTAGATATTCCGATTATGTTTTAGCAAAATCGACAAAAAATTTATCCGAAAAAAGTAATAATAATATGGAATCTGGTATTAGTAACGAATATCCAGAGCTCAGACTTAAAAGTGCTCTGTTAGGTGGTATTTTGATGCCTATTGCTTATGTAATGTATGGTTGGTTTATTAATTATAATATAAATTTGATTGCTCCACTCTCCATGCTCTTTATAGGTAGGTGAATTACACATACAGTCAATTGTTATTATTATATTTATTGTTATTTAATTAAATGATTCATTGATTTATTTTTTTTTGTGTAGGTGGTGCAAGCCTTATGATAATATTTAGTTCTACATCAACGTATTTAGTTGATTCATTTCCCAAGAAAAGTGCTTCGGTAATAGCAGCCAATAATTTTGGTCGATCAATAACGACAGCTCTAATGTCAATTTTGGCAAAACCATTTGAAGATTTAATTGGTACCGGGTGGTTGTACACTTCAATGGCTTTATTATCTGTCATCACTGGCTTTGGTCTGGTTTTGGTTTATTATAAGGGCAGGAGATGGAGGGAAAATCTGGAACGGAAGGTAGTGGTTGAAAGGGAATGTGATAAATAGTGATTGTAAATAATAATAATAATAATAATAATAAAAATATTTTCAAAGTTTTGTGTCTACGCAATTTTGCAAATATAAATTCTGCAAAGAACATTTTTATTTAAAAAAAATTATAAAAACTAAGTCATCATCAATTTAAAAATCGAATCTGCAAATTCCTTTACAATTGTTTATGAATAGAGTTGTTGGTAGAAATGTATATAGTTTTGACTAACGTTTAGGCATTTCGACTGTCGAAATATATTTGTTATCTATCACTATGATTGTATAATGATTTTAATTAGAAATCAATTATTTGTAATTAATTTTTGAATATTCAATTTTTGGACTTTTATTCAAATAAAACAAATGAACAATAAATTTTATTCGATTCATTAATCTAAGATTGAACGAATAGATGCATTGTTTTAATCGCTTATTTTTTGTGACATTGATCAAATCGATTTAATTTGTTGACATTTAAATATATCATCTGAAAATTTAAAAGGTGAAATGACATCATGAGTACTTTGTGCGAGAAAGAGTTCTATTAATCTTTTTCGAAAAACAAACATTTTGCAAAAATGATTTTTAAAATTTTCACGTGATCTGATGTAAAAAAAACGGACATTTCCCGCAGATCTATATAAAAACATAGTAATAGCTAGGGGTAAGTAAATAAATGGGGGGGACAACTCGATGTTACACATATAGATCTTGTGAATCCAAAACTGTCACGCC